TTGATTGATTGATTGATTGATTGATTGATTGATTGATTGATTGATTGATTGATTGATTGATTGATTGATTGATTGATTGAATACTGCCCAACTTAATGATAATTCATTAATCTGGGCAGGGAACAAAAAGAATTAAATCCACAACAAATACCTTCACCCTTCAATGTTATAATAATGTAAATATAAACAATAACATGAAAAACAACAAATTATTAAGAGTACCAAATCTGCAAAATCAAGTGGAAACAAAAAAACAGGCTTTGAAAGAAATAATAAATTGCTAACTCAGAGGAAATACATATATTTAAAGACCTTTTTACAGTGGTGCCTCGCACAGCGACGTTAATCTGTTCCAGATTAACCCTCGCTGTGTGAAACATCGCTGTACGGAAAGAAAAAAGCCATTGGAATGCATTAAACTTAGTTTAATGCGTTCCAATCAGCTGATTTACTCACCGTACAGCGCTGTCCCTCTATGGCCGGTAGCCATTTTCGTGCCCTCCCCTCGCTGAACAAGGGCGCAAAAAGGGCTGCGATCAGCTGTCCGGCGGGTCCAAAATGGCCGCTGGAACAGCCGAAATGGCCGGCCGCAGCGTTTTCGTGCCCTTGGTAAGCGAGGGGAGGGCACGAAAACGCTGCGCGCAGCCATTTTGGCTGTTCTGGCAGCGTTTTCGCACCCTCCCCTTGCTTACCAAGGGCGTGAAAACGCTGTGCCCGGCCCTTTCGGCTGTTCCGGCGGCCATTTTGAAGCCACGGAACAGCTGATCGGCAGGTCGCAAAGTGAAGGTCGGTAAGCGAACCGCTTACCGACCTTCGCTCTGCGATTTTCGCCCATGGGGGCATCGCTCTGTGATCGCATTAGCTATCGCAAAAGCGTCACTGTAGAGCCAATTCATCGCTCTACGGGGCGCTCGTTCTGCGAGGCACCACTGTACAGAGCTCTGGGTAGTAGTTTGGGAATGATGGTACGACAGATACCAAGGTCCCAAAGTATTTAGGGCCATAGGTCAGCATCAACCTGATGTCATGTAGTTATTATATTCTATGATAGGTGATGTCAGCCTGGATACATTGTTTGTTGATTAAATGCTGGTAAATGTTAGAATAAATAGATATTAATTGGTGTTATAGATCATGTTTCTTGCTTTCGGCAGTTGGCTTGCATTTTATTAATCCTTAGACCTCTAAATGTTATCATGCTGGTTAAGTGGTTGATCATTCATTCTTCAATTAACACACTCTTTTTTCCAGTTGCCATAAGATGTCCAGGTATTTCCATTACAGCCTGGACTAAGAATATTAAATGTTGCTGAGCAATCAAGGATAAACAATGTTCCTCTCCGAAGGAAGACTGAAATGAACAAATATTATCATTATCTCCACTAAATTAAAAATGCAAAGCTTGGGAGTTACTCATTCTATTCGAATCAGCACTGTCTTTGGGGAACAGTGAATGGTGTAGATTTATTACAGTCAGTGGTGTGGCTAAAACTGGAATAAAATTATTGCTTCATGCAAGCCAAAGGATATGAGTCTTGCACTGAAAATGCAAAAGATACGACATCTGATGCTTTTGCAAAAGTGTGTTGTGTGCATTCATGTTCATTAACATGAACCTTGTGTTAATCACAGGTGGGTTGGCTGCAAGCTGGAAATATTGGCTTTGTGCTCAGAAAGGAGAGGGCAAACAATGCTGCCTGTTTTAAAATTTTGGTCATAACTTCCGAAAATATCCCAGTACAATATATATCAACCTGCAGATGAAGGGAGGTGTTAACTCACATGCTCTGATCTGGTCAAGTTTCCTCTGGTTATTTTGGCCCAAGACCACCATCTCAAGTCATTCTGGGCCAAAGCAGGGATAGAACATTGTCCATTGCCCAAAATGACAGAATAGTTAGACAGCTTCAAAGTCCACTCTTGTACCATTGTGTAGTACAGCAAATATTGGTCTCTTCCCCCCCTTCTCTTCTCACCCACTAAGTACTGACAAGAAACTGATGCTAGCAGACCAAGACCAATGCTGCAGACCCAGTGAAGACAACTACTAGAGTACGCCTATTGAATCAGTAGCAATTTTTCGAATCCACTACTCTGTAAGTTCCATTGATTTAATGGGTCTACTCTAGTCATAACTTACTACTGGGTTTTAGTCATTGATGTTTCTTCTAAACGCTTGTATGAAATACATGGAACATCTACATGGAACTGGAGAACTGTTGATAGTCAGAACTTGAATTTTAAATATCTGGTATGCAGATAGTAATTGTGGTCATAAGAAGCATTGCTCTCCCTGGAGTCTACAATGGTCCTGACCTTTCTTTGCTATTAATTATGGGTGGTTCATAGTCTGAGCAGCACAGGGGAAGGGTTCACCTTATGATTGCAGTGTGAGGCATCCCCACTTAGGTCATGGGCTGCCTATTCAGTGCCTGCCTCCAAATCAGATCTCCTTGGCAACAGTTAATTTGATTTTTTCCTACTTAGATCCTGTTTTTATGTTTGTGCCCTTCCATCTGCTTCCATCTCTTTCACTAGAGACCTCCAAAAAGGAAAAGCTATATTATTTTGGATAAAGTGTGGCCTGTGATCCAGGCATATGGAGATAGGAGGGCCATTCAAAATGGCAAGATGAGGTACCTCATCATTCACAGACCATGGACTGCAGGTCCATTAGATTCTTACAATGTGTCTTGCTGTTTTCTATAACATTGCTCTAGAAACTCACTGACCGTGCTAGACTCAATCCCCCTGTAATTGTTTCAGCTTTTTTTCAGCTACTGTCCAGTAGTAATAACCAGTTACCACATAGCTGCTCTCCCCTTGTGAAGAAGCAGTTGCAATCACAGAGTGACCTGACAGTTACTGCATGCGAGTTATGAATTTCAGCTCTTCTCAAATCTAGCATGATAGTGTCATGGGAATGCATTGCAGAAAGGTATTTAACAGCTATAAGATTTTCCCCTCTCTAGTAATCTGTTTTAAATTGTGCATGTAGTATTCTGGGTTCTCTCAGAAGATACATGTAGGTAGCAGCCAGTCTTCCCTCCTATCTTGTTCTGATGTTTTAAAAAAGATTTCTTAATTATTATTATTATTTTTTAAATTAAGTTCATATTGTGGCTTGGGGAACTGCCAACTATACTACAAACCTCTGGCCTCTAGTCTCATCTTTATTTCCTAGAATTTTTCTAGGGCCCAAAGGTATTATTAGATTATTAAAATGGTGGAGAGCAGCCAACCAGCCCTCCATTCTGGCATGATGGGAGCTGATGGGAATATTTTGGAAAGCTAAGGAGATGGGGAAAGCATCTGAGAGGAATGATGTGAACAGAGATGAGAGATGGTTGTTTTGCCTATGCTCTTTCTATGTGTGGTTTTTGTGTGACTTATTTTTCTTTTGTCTTTTTTATCTGGTGTGGTGTAGGTTAGCTAGTTGGGCTGTTAGTTGGCTTGTTTCTTTTCCTCTCTCTCTCTCTCTCTCTCTCTCTCTCTCTCTCTCTCGCTCTCTCTGTGTGTGTGTGTGTGTGTGTGTGTGTGTGTGTGTGTGTGTTTATATCAGTGTTATTATTTTAGAGTAGATTGTGTTTTGCTTGGGTTGTTCTGTTTTGGTGTGTGTGTTTGTATGGTATGGGGTAAGTGATTTGCTGCTCTCTGTGTTCCTTTAAGTATCCTCATTGAATATTTCACAGCTGTGTTGTTTTGTGAGAGCAAACAAAGCTTAGAAACATTGATTTGGGGACCACAAACTTCCCAGATTCGAAGCTCTGGACCAATTATGTGATTTAGTATTTGGTATTCGAGGCTTAGATCCCCACCTCTGCAGTTTTTTGATCAAATTCATTATTTCTTGAATGTCATCAATTTACATTGAACTGGTGTTGCAGCAGAAAATCATAGGTTCAAAAGAGTTGTTTCTGTTTTGGACATCACACACCCTGGTGTATACTTCTGATTTTAGGAAAGTTTTCTCTCTCTCTCTCTCCTTGCTAATTTGCTTTTTCAGAAACGAGTGTTTTGCAATTGGCCACACTTTTAACGGGAACCCCTTTGTGAGAACAGCCACAACACTCTCAACATTCCAGATGTGTCCACAGATCAAAAATCTTTGGGGACCCTGAGGCACAATGTAGTTTTCTCCATTGTTGATCATAGCCAGTAAAATTCCCCTGTGCTTCAACTCAGTGGAGTAACATTTTATCTCAAGAAAAAGAAGGCATGGACTTGGTGAATCTTTGAAGCATTGTATTTTCAACTACACTTTGTACTAGATATCTAAAATAAATCATAGCTCTGGTCACAATAAGTGTAATTATGATTTCATGAGAAAGTACAATAGCATTAATAGCCTGTATTTTGTCCCAGTACTTTTACATTGTACAATCTGCATATTGCATGGTTTTCATGTGGTAATTTAGTGAGGTTTTAAACAAAATTACCAGAATATTTAAAATTTAATAAAAAATTAGTAAAATCCTGAATTTTAAGATTTATCTAAATCCTTAAGGTACGTAAAATTCAGGATTGTATTTCACATAAATTACCAAGATGCTTCTCCTGGCTCCTCTAATCTACCCTATCTGTTGGTGATCACACTGCATTGTCACCAAGCAATGAGGCAAATCGCACATGTCTTCTCCAGAATGGATAGGGCATTGATCCTAGGGTAGATGAAACCTATGAAATGTTAAAATCAAAATTAATTTAATATCAGTTCGGACTTATAAGAAGGCATCTATACCGTACATTTGCAGATGAAAATATAAATTGTTCAATTGTCGTCATCATCATCATCGTATTAGAACTGCAGAACTGGGAGGGAACCTGTGGATTATCTAGTCCAGCCCCTGTCAAGGAGGCACAGTTGGGAATCAAACTTCCAATCTCTGGTTCCGCAGCCAGATACCACTGAGCTATCTGGAACTACACGCTTTTTTTAAATGAGTGAGATTTCTATCAGCAGTGGAATAAGTATATTATTTTCTTTTATTCCCATTTAGCTGCACCTTTGGAGCTGCCCCTGTTTGAATTGATACCATCACAGAGGCAGGTTGTTTTTCATGGGGACCGTTTGCCATTTCAATGTACAGCTACATATCTGGATAATACTACAGAACTGCATTGGTACCATGATGGTCACCTAATTGAAACTGATGATGAAAGTGGCATATTTGTGGAAGACAGCCTAACACATGATTGCTGTTTAATTACACGGTAATGTATTCATATATCTAATAAGCTGTAGAATATGTTCATGTTATTGCTATTATGACCACAGGCAGCCATGTTCTACATACAAAACCAAAATAAAATAATAAATCATATAGTAATTACAAGCAATACAATATAGAATATGATTTTTTGTAATGCGTTGCACCCAGTGGTAAAGAAATCCCCTTCCTTAACATGTAGATAAATAATTGTGAAATAATCTTTCTGAAATATTGGTACCTCCCAGAGTCTAACATGGAACTTAAATGTTTACTTCACTAATATTTGTTTCTATCAATCAATTGGAGAAATATGGTTACAATGATACTTGTAACATAATGTCACATAAGTTTGCCTTAGTTCCCATGTGCCCCTCTAGAGATTTTTGGGCTTCTTTTCCCTTAGCCAAAATAGCCAATTGGGAGGATTCGTCCAATTTGCATCCCAAGAACGTCTAGAAAGGCCACAACAGGAAACAGCAGGAGGGGAGCAGGAGAAAAGACTTATTCCAGTCTTAGACATTCTAGACTTGTCAATGCGCCTAAAACAGGAGTGCCTCGCTCCCCTCTCCATAATCACCTTCTGCATGCATTAAAACAGGAGTGCCTCGCCCCCCCTCTCCATAATCACCTTCTGCATGCATCCCCTGATGAATCCAAAGATACTGTTCCTGCTCATGGGAGGAAGAGCTGGGGGATGCTCTCATTTTATCCAGAACCCAGGGGGTTTAGAAGCACGCATGCACGCGCGCGCACACACACACATTATATCCTGCAGCTCATCTTTTTAGCTTGCACAAGCCTTCTGTTATCTGAGTCACTGGTTTAGTTTGCTATCCTGTAACCACTATCTCTCCATTAATTCCTTTTAACCTGAAATAATTCTGGAATTATTGAAATGGTCAACCCTTATGGATTCTGGGGGAAGAAAAATGTGTATAGTTTGGAACTCTGGGTTTGTCAGATTTGTTTCTTACTTTAACCTTGCTGAGTTCAATCCACATGTTTTGGGTGGGAAGATGTAGAAGAGTCTTGCAGTTGCCCCTGCTAGCAGTGACTATTCTCAAAGCCACATACATCTGTCAGATCTGCTTTGATTTCGATTCCTGTACTGAGCAGGGGGATGGGCTTGGTGGCCTTGCAGGCGTCTTCCAGCTCAATGATTCTGTGTTTCCATGATCAACTAATATACATGTATTAAGAACCTGAATCAGTATGTATTGAACAGTACAGTCTCAGCGCTATGCAGCCCTGCCAGGTTTGTGTTTACTTTTATATCAAGGGACAAAATATTTTCTTTTTGGACTTCAGGATACTAAAATGACGTGGCATGCTGTTGCATTATATCCATTGTTTTTCAGTAATTTAATGTAGCATAAGCAAAATAACCACGGTAGAGGGAACATTTAATATTCATTATTTTAAGTGAACCACAAAATAAAAACAATAAAAATTAAAAACGATATGCATAATGCAGTGGGGTAGATTTAACTGTAGCCTATTTTGAGCATGTTTAAATCTATCCCATTGCATTACATCTATTGGTTATGACAGGCTAAAGCCCCATTGATTTCAGTGGGTCTGCTCTTAAACTTTTAACCTTGCATTTTTACATTTTTACATTTTCATACACTCTTTGTAACTTGTCGTAAAACTAAAGTTTTGCCATTTCTTTTTAATCATGCAAAGGTTTAACAGATTTTTTTTCTCTTTCAGCCTTTTAATATACTTGTAGTTTCTGAAAATATCTCCTGTATAATACTCTGACCTAGCAAGACTCTTGAAATCTTTCCTAATTGTATTTTTAAAAGTATCTGGCATAATTAAAACTTTTGAATGGCCACAGTGTTTGTGAGCCTTAAATATAATATTAATTGATGGAGTGAAGGGAAGAGGGGCCAGTAAAACGGAATTGGGAGAACATTTCACTCCCATTTGTAGGGTTCCCAGAAAAACTGCAAAACAGCTCCTCTCCTTCCCCCATAATGTGAGATGTTGACATGGAGGAGGGCTGCTTTAGCTGAGCCTTAACTACAGCTCCATATATAATCATATTAGTGTGCATGTAACTTTCACTGTTAAATGTTGCTATAGAAACTAAGGCGGTATTTGGCCCTCAATATTTAACAATACGTATAGTGGTATTTCTGAGGTGATTATTTAGCACAGACAGAACACTTAGTCTTTCCAGCGCTATGCAGTGAATATTTTAAGAAGAATACACTAACTACATTTAGAATTACTAAATGCATCCATGTACCTTGATTCGTTCTGGACATGCATTTCCAGTTAAACACCATGATTCTTTGTAACTTTTTTTTCATCTTTATTTTGTACAGATAAAATATTCAACTATATTTTAGCTTTCCTTGAGAGATGAAACGCACACATAATCCAAACGTTTTTGATTGTGCTAATGAAACTAATTTATAAAACTGTGTTTAGCCCCATGAAATTTTTGTTGGCAACATTTATTTCCATGTGGGAGAGTCAAGAAGATGTTTCCAATTTGTTCCTAGCTCACATTGTCAGTTTATGGCCAATAACAACATTATTTGAATTATGTTTAACTTCTCAAAATTATTCTGACATAGTTTTCATAGAAGTCACATATGAAAGCCTACATATACAGTACACACACGTGCGCGCTCTAAGGAACAAATTTCCTATGGTTATGGAAATGGTGAATTTCCAACCTGCGTGAACTGTTATGTTTTCTGTAACAGTTGAAATCATAATTTATGTCTTGGACGTACTTAGTAAATATGCTCCCAGGAGCTGAGATCAGCTTCTGTCCCTGAGCATTTGCATCCCATGAGTTTACTAAATTATCACAATTCCCAGATGGAGGACTCGGGGTTTTCTGTGTCACTCTCCGACCCCCCATGTCAAGCACAGCCATGTCTGTTTGAAAGAAAGGCCAAAAAGAAAGGTGTGTCCGTGCACAGCCTGTGCTTCTTTTTTTTTGAAAACTGGGATGTGATATCCAGTGCACAACTGCCTCAGCTGTAACTTTAAAACAACAGCCCTAAAGCAGCCTGCATCTTTCCAGATTTACATCTAAGAAAGACACGGCTGGCGAAATCCAGCTTGCCATGAACTTTTAGACTTTTAAGTTCTTCACACTGGTACATTCCTGATGGAGTTGCCCTGATCCATGAAAGTTTACATATTGAATGATTATTTTTTTAGTGGTCTTCTGTAAAGTTATTGCCTACTCCTGCATTTCTCTTTCCTTGCTCTCTTTGAAGCTATCAGAGGTACATAGCCAGTCCATGGCAGAAATTCAAGGACCCACTTTCTCTGTGATGTATAAAGCACTTACAGGCAGGGTAAACTAATATCTACTTGGGAATTAAATATTTTGGTACTTATATCTGCATGAAAGAAAGAAAGAAAGAAAGAAAGAAAGAAAGAAAGAAAGAAAGAAAGAAAGAAAGAAAGAAAGAAAGAAAGATAAACAATCAGGAGATTATTGTTAACAGAGAGGCAGTCAATAGAGGCAGTCTATAAATAATTTTAAAAATAGATATGGTCAAATTCCCTGTACTTGAAACATTTATTAATTTATTTAAAATATTTTAATCCTAGCTTTCTCCTTAAAAAGAACCCAAGGCAACTTTTAATTAAGATTTCTTCAGTTTAATGTTATATTTTCAAAGAGGACATTTGTAGCATGAAGCTGACCTTCCTTCTTTTCTCAGTTAAGAAAACCACTATATATTTTAAATATTTTGAGCATATTCAGACTAAAGGTAGATCAGTTCAAATGAAAGGAAATTAAATTAGGCATGACTAACTGTGTTTCTGTTGACTTCATTGAGTGGACTCTATGCATGAAGAAATCTGGATCTAACTCAGTGGCCAAAATCCTCTTGAGTGAAATACAGTAGCTTAAGGCAGATGATGTTAATTTAAAAAGGTGAGTTCATGTTAATTAAAAAGTTCCTGTTTCAATCCTGAGGCTTGCACAGCTGGTACACAATCAATCTCACTGCATATCAGCCATGCAAGCCCTGGGACAGAAGCAGGAACTCTTTAATTACTGTACCAGCATCTCCAGCATCTCTCTCCTGCTCTCTTCTTTTACTCAACAGGAATTTAATGGGAAGCAAAATAGGAATGTGATCATGAAATGTCTAAAAATGTTGTTAGGAAAATAAGTGGAAACTAATTATAAGATACAAGGGAAAGCAAATAAAAAACAGAATAAATGACACAAAGAAAATCTGGCAATAATGTAGTTGTCATAAAGGAAGCATAATCTAAAAGAGAAAATAAATGTTGATGAGAAAGAGCACCATGGCAACAAGAAATAGGCACCGCATTTTTTTCGGACAGTGACTGAAGCATCAAACACAAATTGGCTACTTTGTAAGTGCTCAGATTCAACGTTGCTATTATTTGTCTGTCAGGACTGTGATGTCATAGAACTCGTGTGCACAGGCAGTATGCCAAAAAATGAAAAGAGACATAGCTTTAGAGAGAACACTGTGAATATCTTGCATCTTAAGGGTGTCTTCTCCCTCACCTTTCCTTTTCCTCCATCATCTTCTCCCTGTATAAGCACCATCTCCCTTACAAGGGAAGACACTTGGATGCCTGATGCAGAGCACCAAATGGGGCCCATCTATCTCATAAGTGAGGGTGCAGAATAACTAAAGCAAACAAGCTCATCTTGTTCCTCCATTTTTTGGCAGTAAAAAAATAAAAATTGTAAATTTATAGTCAGATTGACACTCAAACATACTTTCTGTAGACCTGTTGGAATCAATGGGGTTTAAGACAATTGTGACCAATATACATCCCAGTATTTCACTGAATATACCCTGTTGTTTAGCATGATAAAGTGCAGTAGAGTAGGCCTATTTGAATCAATGGAATTTATGGAGATGTAGATTCATTAAATTCCCATTGATGCAATGGGCCTGTTTTAGTGCAATTTACTACACTAAGCAACACGATTTGGCCTATGCAAGCAACTAAGTCTGGATCTAATCCTGA